ATCTACTGGCTATAAAAAAAAACCATAGTTCATAGAGAAATCACATGGGTGCATTGGGTGCTCTGGTGTTATCAGGTATTAAACTAGACAAGGACATGGATTTTAGCTTTGAGCCAGTCTCTTTCCATGGATTGTCTTATTTGATCCTCACCACAGCCCTAAGAAGCCCAGGGTAGTTCTCAAATTTGAGAACACACCAGACTCATACAAAGGGTTTGCTAAAATGATGACTGAGCCTACCCAGCAGAGTTCCTGATTAGGGGGGTAGCCCTGAGGAAGGGCCAAGAACCTGCATATCTAATGGTCACATTGATGCTGATGGTCTCGGCCCAAGGACCATGCTTTGAGAAACACTGAGCTAGCTGCTATCACTCCCGGTTGTGTAGCTAAGGAACTGAGGCACAGAACACTCAAGTCACTTTCCTAACACCAGCCAAACAGAAAGTGACCTAGTGGATGTGTTCAAGATCTTCTGGCTCCTGGAATCACCTCACTTCCATGTCCCAGTTTTCTGCCAACCCCCACCACCCAGTCATCACACCCAACTGTAAGGATGAATACTGCCATCTGTGTCCTCTCCAAGGCCAGCTGTAGTCATTAAGACACAGGAATTTGGGGAGCTGCAGACCAAGAGTCTCCAGGACACACTCAAGCCCCAGTTCTGCAACCCAGGAAGAATGAGGCCCCTTGCAAGTGGGCAGGCCACACCACATCCCAACAGGCCCTGCATGCCACCACTTTAATTAGCAGTAACTGGGACTGGAGCCCAGATTGAATAAATGAGAGAGGGTCAGATTGCTGGTCTCAGAGAAATCCCCCAGCACAGGGGCAAGATTGAGTTCTCTAATAGGAAAAACATGCCTGGCCTTTTCCAGCCTCCAAAGAGTGCTTTGCGCCTTTATTCATGCTCAGGATGGCAGCTGTGGGACACTGGAAAAAGACATGCACCCCCTTAATTAAATATGCCTTGTAATTGCATGTGCCCCCGGCTGCCATTTTCGGCCCTTCCTTTGGCTTCAACAGGCCTGCACTTATTACTGCAGTTTGGGGGTGGGGCCACATGGGTCTACATCCCTGCTGTAGGGTAGAAAGAAAAGTTGGCTTTCCAGACTTCTTTCCTGTGTTCCATCTCTGGGTCTTAAAGTCTAAGAAAGACTTAAAGAGAGCGTGCAGGGCCCCAGGGCACATGTGTTGGCAACAGCTTTGTATTCCAGCAGAGGCAGGCAGAGGGCAGGTGGAGGCAGGGCCTGCAGGACGTGAAGGATGTGAATGCGATGTCAATTGCTATGGAGGATCCCAGCCTGATTTCCAAAGGGAATTCTCTGTGTGTTCGTGTTCATGTGTGCGCAAGATGAGCAATCTCAACGGTCTCTCCGTGGGACCTGGGGTTAAGCAATTGGGCTGGGTTAGCTAGCCAGTAAGCCCCAGGGATCTGTCTGTCTTTGTCTCTCCAGCACTTGGATTACAAAAGTGTCACCACTCCCAGATCTTATGTGGTTCTAGGGAGAACCTTAACGCTTGTGTGGTAAGCACTTTACTAAATGAGCCATCTCCCCTGCCCTCCAAAGGAAACTTTTCAGAATGGAGAATCCATTGTGTGAGGGAGGAACAAAGACTTGGAGAAAGGACAGCGGTGTTGGCAATGCATGGCAGTGCCTGGGACACACCAAATCTTCCCCAAGCCAAAGACTGTCCAAGCTATCACTAAGCTGACAGGAAGACCAATGTTCTACTGTACCATTGCCCCCAACACAGTCAAGCCCCCATTGATCCCAAATCCCACACGACAAGATGGAGAGGCTAGCCTTGTAGATACTCTGTGAGTGATGACTTGAAGGGAAGTGGAACTCTCCAGGGGAGGCCTTGGTGTCCATGTTCCCCAATATTGTGATTTGCCTGAATCTTTTTCAAGCTACATCAAATCTATAGACAACCAAACAATGTCTGGTACCATCAGATGTCAACACCATGACCATTCTCTGCTCTTGGTTCATTATTTTCAGTACTGACATTCCTTTTTGGTTGCCTCATTGTTTCAAATACACTGGATTTGTGTGGGGTGTGTGTGTGTGTGTGTGTGTGTGTGTGTGCTCAAGCCCACGCATATGCATGCACATACATCATGGTGCATATAGAGAGATTAGAAGACAACTTGCAAGAAGAGTCGGTTCTCTCATTCCATCATGTGGATCCCACCTGAGCAAACTCAAATTGTCAGGCTTCGCTGTAGACACCTTTGCCCGCTGAGTCATCTTTCCAGCCCACAAAGGGATTTTTGTTGTGTTCTTGATATAAGACTATCGAAACCTGCCTATCTGGGGAAACTGACTCTACCAACTAGCTGGAAATTTTCAGTTCTTGCATCAAACCTGATGTACATACAAGCAAGTGCGTTTATCATAAGCCAACAGCTTGGTGAATTTCCATAAGCTGAACACAGTGCCCATGTCAAGGAACTAAATACACCCAGCTACCCCGGATGTCACTTCCCAGTCACCTCCTCACCACCCCCAGAACACCCCCTCTTCTGACTTTCAGCCACAGATTTGCTTTACTGGGCTGGAGTTTGTCCTCTGCTCACATGACAGCCTAACTTGCAAGTCAGTCACTCAGCAGTTGAACAGGTCAAGTGACCAGCTCTACAGGGAGGATGGGCTCTGTCTTTAAGTCAGGACTGGTAGGGGAGCAGGTTGTATCACCTTTCTTCTCTCATGATGGAGTCTCAGAATTCTAAAGCCATCCCAGGAACAGATGGGCAGGACTTGGCCCATCCTGGCTGGAAGATGGTCCTACGTCTGGAGCTCTACCATGAGGCTCAGTGCCAGGGACAGGAGAAGAATTATTTTCCACATACTTCTAGAAGTTTCCTCTGTGTAAGAGATGCCAGCACAATCAGTGGGACAAGTTAGCACTGACTCTCCGGCTAGAAGGATCTTGGGAAGTGTCTGCATAGAGTCCTTTAGTGGCAGACATGAGAATGTCTAAGGCCTGAAGTATGACTCAGTGGTCAGTGTTCATCTAGATTCTAGAGGCCTTGAGTTAGATCCTCAGCACGCCATGAATAAACAAATAATTCTGTGTCTTGGGGAATGTTTTTAAAAATGCAGCTTTCTCAAGTCCCTCCTTACATACAGACTGAGACCCAGAAACTTGCATTTTCAGAAGGAACGCCAGAAGATTCTGATGTAGTTGATGCCAAGTTGTAGACCGAGGAACACTGGTCTAGATAACTCCACCCCCAGGGTTGCACATGGAGCAAGTGAAGCCCAGAGGGCCCAATCAGCTTCCTGAGAATCACAGAATCCAAGTGACACACACATGCGCATACATGTTTACACAGGCACACAGACTGAGGGGCCACTATGTCTATTCTTCCTTTGGTGGACTCTCACTCTGTCCTTTTGTAAGGTAGGTATGAAGACAGGGAACAGAACAGAGTTTCCCCAAAAGCCCAACTCTTTCCTGTCTCCCTCCAATCTGTCTAACTGCCTTCTTCCTAAAACCCAGATCTGTTCTCTGCCCTGCCCCACTGCAAGCAGAACAAGTTGGAATTTTCTGGCTACCTCTGCTTGACCCAATCTTTCTGACCTCCAAACACATGACTCTTCTATAAACCCTTCTCCATGCACATCCTTCCAATTCCAGCTTGCTCAGCCTCCCCTCTGTCCATGTGATGCCCTTGGTACCTGGGCCAACAGTGCATCCCCCACCTTCCCCAGGCCTCCCGTTCTCTTAAGGCCCAGATAGAAGCCTGGTTCCTTCAGGAAGTCTAGTGACTTCCAGCTCTGGATCTCTCCTCTGACAATCAGAGCCCTGGACCATACATTTGCAATCTGCTGCTACTACCTATTATGTTCTGCTTTGAATTATGAACTTTAGTGATTCCCAGCTACAGAGCTCAGCATACCCTTCTAATTACCCACCCACCTAGTAACGTTTCTAGCACATAATAAGTACATAAAGGATGTTAGTAATAGAGGAGCTATGCAGTGCTGGGGGGTGGGGTGCAGAGTACCTGGAGGTTCGGCCTGGGAGAATGTGCTTTTCTATAGGTTCAGTGACTTTTCTATGCTTCCTGGGCTACCAGAACATTCCAGGCTAATCCTTGCACATGAAGGTCAGACAGTACGCTTCTGCTTTCATAACCAATCTCTCTGACTGTCACCACCCCATAGCCACTGCATTTCCTGGTGCTAATGTTAGCACACCTCTGCTTTCGTCTGGGCCAGTGAGGTCACTTCTATGCTGTATCTTGTGCAGGGTCTATGACTCTGTCCTTATCAAAAGATCACTAACTTCCTGTGCCTGCCAGAGGGCCGACCAAGTGCCTGCCTTCCCAGTCCCACTCCAGCTAGTGGTGACATTGCCAGTTCACTGAACAATGTCACCCACCAGTTGTCTTGCAGGCTGACCAGACTGGCCAGCATGTTCTTGACCCAGTCCCATAGAAGCCCTGGACCATATTTAACGTAAGTCTTCACTAAGGACTGACCATCATCTCTGCATCCATGACTTGCTTACAACATGGCCACTAGAAGTTAATTTCAGATCCACTGACAGCTTAAGTTCTAGGGCCTGCGCCAAATTTCCAGAAAGGAGCCCTTTCTTCTTTGTTTATTGTAGGAAAGACGTCCTGGGAGGAGGAAGGTTTCTCTCCTGCCAGGGCCCATGTAGCTGGAGGTCTGGGAGAAATTCTTACTGGAATTTGGAAGTCTCACTACTGAGTCTCACAGCTCAAGTGCCTATGTCAGTCTTTCTGTCTGGAGAGAATGCACAATGTAATTCTGAGGAGGGTCCATTCTCTACTACTGAGTCTCACAGCTCAGGTGCCTATGTCAGTCTTTCTGTCTGGAAAGAGTGCACAATGTAATTCTGAGGAGGGTCCATTCTCTATGATACCCAGCTTTCCCCAACCACACCCCAAATAACCTCAACCAGTTTCTAGGTTTCTTATTAAATACAGTCATCTCCCAAAAAATATATTTAAAATCTCTACTTACCAACATAAGTCCACTTGGATCCTATAAAAGACAGAAAGAAACAAATAAGTACAATACAACGGCACTGACAGAGCCGGGAAGACACTGCACATTTAGTTTTTAAGAGGGTGACACTGAAAAGGAAGTCAGTGCCCCCAAATATGAACTTCTGTTTTGGAGCCAGAACCATGACTCCTCAGAGCTGTGCTCCACACAGAGCTCAGGATGGGGAGTTTGTGGACTCAGGAGGGGCATCTGGAATAGATGCCACCCCCAGACATCTTAGAAAAGCCAAACATTATTAACTGAGCAGGGAATTCCATGTAACTTGAAACCCTGAAACCATCAAAATATTCTTCCAGTGGAAGTTCTCTCTCCTACCCTCCCTTCCCTCTTCCGGTAGATACCTTGTGTATGGGGTGATGGTGGGTCCCTCACAATGGGCTACACATCCACGAGTTCTCTTCCCTCCCCTACTAGAGACATTATTTGGCATCTTGCTTTTATCTACTTGACAACTTGTCTTGGAGAACTCATACATCAGTACCAGGAGAGCAGAAAACTCCCTGCCAGTGGAAGGTGTTTTCCCCCAAGGGAGCTGAGCTACCATCCGCCTCTGAGTTTGGATGCCAGCAGTGGCAGGAACGTGGAGGAGAGACTCCGACAGGAATATAACCTGAGTCACCCACCGTCTCCCACTCTACCCCTTTCACACGTCACACAGGTCCTCCACTCCTCCTTCAAACGATATCTTTGAACAGTTGCTGCAGCACTCTCCCCTCCTGTCACCCAGCTGCTCATGTTCACCTTCCTTCTGGAAGAAGACTTAACCATCAAATACAAAGTTTGATTCGGTAACTTGTAAAGCCACATTTCTGTGGTAAGACTGACACATCCAACTAGGGACAATACAACTCCTAACCACCTCTCTCCTGGCATCTCTAAGTTTCTGTGGTTGGGAGGAGCAGCTGGAAGACTAAGAACTGGCCTCCCCTTTGTCTCCCAATAAAATGTAGTGTCAAGGATCTGGCCACTCACCGTGAGCAGGAATTTCCTACTCAAGCCTATGGTGGTTTTTAAAAGCTGAAAGAGAACCTTGAACTCCTCCCCACCCCCATTGTTGCTATTATTGTCTTGTTTAATGGCTTTGCCTCCAAGTTAATTTTGTTTTTAATTTTCAAAGCTAACTGGTAATTTTGATCAAATGAGACATCTGTCATAGTTTAGAGTCAGATGGTTCTACAAGGCTTTTTAACCAGTATCAGCCCCCTGAAAGTCACATGCCATTTAGTTGTGTCCTAGGACAACCATTTTGGATCCTTTTAAATAGTTCTTTGAGTATTTTCTCCACCTTAGGAAACATGTTTATATTGTCCCCATTCAGGTTTTGTAGAGCCAAGCACTATTTATTGATATCCCACCTTGGAGGAGAAGAACTTAGTTTTCACAGGTGATGTAAAGTGGCCTGTCTTAGACCGTGTGCCTACTAACAGTCTTGGCACATTTGTCACTCATGTACCATGTTCCCATGAATTTCAGGAGTTTCCTAAGGGGGCCAAGCTCCTCCTAGAATAGAACCATTACCTTTCCAAAAAAAAAAAAAAAAAGCTGGGTCTGGGCAGCTCAGAGGTTCTTGTTGGAGCCTGCAAACCCAGCTGGCATTGGGCAGGGAGATGCCCCAAGGAAAGGGTATTTAGCAAAGTCCAGGCCAGGGAGGGGTTCAGGGTCCTGCCCTGCCTGCTTTCTGCCTTGGGGGCTAGCAACTTCCAGGTGCTAATGACACTACATCCAGGCAGCACGAGCCTGAACAGCCCTCCACCTCCAGTTCAGACACAGCAGGCTCAGCTGAGCTCTCTGAAGTGTCCCTCAGTCATAGTAACAAAGAGCTCCACGCTGTCTCCAAAAGACCTTCAGCTTCACCTTCCGCTCCTCCCACCCCTGGACCAAGGGCTTTTCTTGCAACGGTGATGAATTTCAGTCCCCCAAGTCTCAGCAGAGCATACTTTGACCCCTTACTCAGCTAACCCTCCAGCCCCAACTTTGGATTAGCTGGCCTTCTGTCCGCCTCTGTGAGTTTTGTTTGACTCAGGAGCAAGGCAGCCAGGAAACTGGTCCAATAAATAGCAGTGTAAAAGCTTAGAACCTAGAGGTAGCTAAGACAGCTCAGTGTGTGGTGGAAGTGGGTGTTAGTTAACTGCGAGCTCCCCCAAGGCACTTGGGAAGATGAGGAGAGAAGGGGCCAACAAGGAGAACAATGGGGAGTAGCTGTCAGAGAGGGAGCCCCAAACTTGGAGGAAAAAAATCAGTAGAAAGCCCATCTCTCCTATGTGAGGTGCTCAGTACTAAAAGACTTCTGGTGAACTTCGGTCTCCATAGATTGCTTGAGAGTTAGCAGTTAGCCAAAGTTAGCAGTTTTCAAAATTGATCCCCATTTGTGGGAACTTCTCTCACCTCCTGCTTCTTCCTGACTGCATGGGGAAGGTGACAGTAGGCAGACCCTGCCAGCCAGCAAATGAAGATTCAGCAAAGGGGTAGGTAGCTTGTTACCCACAGGTCTGGCCTTTCCCACAGGCAGTGACATCCTCTGAGGAGAAGGAAGCTCTCTCCCTACTGCCTAGCAGAGAGGGAGGGGGCCGATTTTTTTCAGCCATTATGGTCACTCTTGGTCCTTTCCATAAATGTTGCATCCCAGGAACTGTATACCCACAAGCATCACCACGATGTGGAGATTGTCACAAGCAAGACCTAGTCACTGTCCTCTCCCTAAGAAGAGTAGCTCGCATCCCTTTCTTGTTCTAAGGGAGTTAATTAACCAGGCTTCGGACATGAGCCCACAGCTCAGGTTCCTCTCCCCACCTCAACCCAACACCCTACTCAGCACCCTTGCCCTTTGGAGTTCAGCCCTTATCACAATTAGAAATAGGGGTGCACACACATGTAGGTTCAGGGTAGTAGAGTCCTCTAGGGGAAAGACAATGATTAAGGATGGGCTACCTTATCCCTTTGACATGGAGGTTAACTGCTTCTGTCTGAGGGTTCTCAAGACCAGCCTGACTTCCCTTCTTGCCAATCTCTAGCACCACTCAGGAAGCCAGACATTTCTCAGCGCTCTGCAGGTGGTTCCGGGATTCTGGCTAACAAGTTAACAAGCCTCATCTCCAAAGCTAGTGTGCTCCAAAGCTAGTGTGCTCAGTAAAAAGCAAACGAGTAAGGCCAACTGTGCACAAAGCACCATTAAAAACCTCAGTAAATTGTGCATCCTAAACGAAACGCAGGCATCCTTCCTTTAAAATGGGCTCCTTCCCTGCTCCCTCAGTAGTGATTTTATTTTATCTTGCAAGAGCCTGGCAAGAAATCCTTCTGCCCAGGCATGGCTGATTGTGCAGGACTCTTAAAAAAAGCAAGCAGAAACTTTACCGTTGAGTGGGGCCGAGCTGGAAGGCTGCACAGTTAGGATCACCAGCAGGAGGACTATGGTCGCGTGCAGGCTGCGGTGGGGCATCTTTGTCCTGGCGACTCAAGGCTGCCGCTGGCTCTCGGGCTGTGAGGCACTTGGAGCTGAGGCTTGGAGCTGACTGGGGTGCACCAGCGCAGCATGCGCCCAGCCTGGGACCACAGCGTGCTTGTGGGCAGTCTGCAGTGTAGGCTCTAGGCTGCTCACAGGCTGCTTTTTAAGCTGCGACTCAACCCCCAAACATGATGTCATCGTGCAAGGGGGCGGGGGCAAAACGCCCAGTCTACCCGAGAGCCCCAGGTCCTAGGTGAGTTGCAGTCCTAACTTAAGTGGCCTTCAATGGCCCTTTGGCCGGTCCTCTGGACCACCTGGGGAGCCAGTTCTCCCAGGGAGCTGTGAGAAGTCTGGGGACCATGCATCACTTCACTGAATGTGGCCGTGGTGTGTCACTGACCTTATTTGAAATCCCCACTCCTAGGACCCTGTTTGAGCCAAGGCTTCCATCAGCGACTGAATGCTCCTGCATGGTCTGGACACGGGTTAGCTAAGTAGCTGTGAATTGCACAGCATATCCAGATTAAGCTCCTTTCAATAAAACCACAAAGAGACTGCGAATAGGAAAATAGTATAATGGGAAACACATGAATGAAGAGCTTTACTGCGATTAGAATTTCCCCCAGGAAAAGGCTGGCTCACAGTATCTGCCCATCCTCAGTAGGAAGCTGCAGGAGAAGGTGCCCTCTTAAAGCAGTAGTGAAAGAAAAGGCCTTGCATCGTTATTGGATGTCTAAAAGCATCCGAGACTGGGCTAGGGTTGTGTGTCTCAGTCTGGGTCAGTGGCCAAGCTGTGTGCAGTGCAGGTTTACCACCTGAAGCTGTGTGCAGTGCAGGTTTACCACCTGTTGCTGCTTCCACCCACTTTCTCATATCTCTGCCTGCTTTGCAATATGCACACTTATGCTGGATGAAAGCACGCCATTCTGACCTTCGTATTTATCCCATGTCCAGCTAAGTCTTAATGAGCTGCTGCCCTGCTGCCCCCACCCTTATTTCCTGTATCTTCTGTTTGTTATTCCCAACCCTGAGACTGTTTCTGCTTCCTGCATCCCTGGGTCTTCCATGTGTCTCTGTACCCCTCCAGATGAGGGTCCTGGTTACCTTCCCTAGGAACCCTGACCCCCTACTGCCTACCCACATGGCTCAGTAACCTGGCTCATCATGCCTTCTTCTCTGTACCAAGGCAACCAGTGCAGCCCTCTCCAGTCTCTGTCTGTTGATACTCAGCCTACACAGACTCAAGCTGGCCTTGGTGACTAATGAAGCCACTTGTTCACCTAGAACTTGGAGGGGATGAGCAGCTGAGAACCACCAGGAAGTAGGTGCTACCTGCATTTCAAGGGGTGTTACTGTTCTGTCCCTAACAGCCCAGCTATTGTGTGGGTAATAAAGGGCTTGAAATCTCTTCAAGGAAGTTGTTACAATGACAATTTTGTCTCAAGCATTTCCAGACCACAATAAGCTTAAGGGTGACCTTTTCTCCATGATAAATGGCCTTGGGTGAGCTCTGGAGTGATCTAGGCAGTGTCTTTAGAAGGTGAAATGAACTAGGGAGCATGAGAGCCAGGGAGACCCCCAGAAGTTCGGGGATGTGGACTCTGGGTCAAGTGAAGCCACGACTAGTTCCAGGCAAACTGGACCATGCCCGGACACCTGTCTGTGCCAATGCCACACTGGCTGTTTTTCAGTATGTCAGAAGATGTTCAGTTCAACTCCTCCTGAAATGTCCACTTTAAAAGGATCCCCAAAGACGGAGAGGTGAAAGGATAGAAAGGTGGATGTAATAAAACAATAAGACTAGATCATAAACTCGTTTCATACAGAGAAAATTTGTGTGTGTTTATTGTGCCTCTATCAGAAAGCTGACTAATAGGAAAAGAGTGGTTAACGAAAGAGAATCAAGAATATAAGCTAAAGTTCAGTGTGGTGGGTTATCCCTGAAGTCTCAGCACATGGGAAGCTGTGGCAGGAAGATCTCTGAGCTTCGTGGGAAACTCTGTGTTAAGGAGAAAGGGGCAGGGTAAGACTGGAGGGGGGAATGAGAAAACGGCTCAGAGGGTAAAGGCGCCGGGCGAGCCTAACGATCTGAGTTGATCCTCAGATTCCCACTGTAGAAGAGAACTGACTCTTTAAGGCATTCTCTGACCTCCACGTGTATGCCAGTCCTCTCTGAGAGCAGTACATGGTTTTAACCACTGAGTTTTCTCTCCAGCCCCCAAAATTTCGTAATCTCCATAAACAGTGTCACTTAGTTGGGACGATTCATCTTTGTGTGAAGCCAAAGAAAGGACTGCATGGAGGAAAACTAATACTGATTGTCTACTGTTCATTCTTAAAGTCACCTGTGGGGTGGCACTAGGTTTAGGAATCTGAGGCTTGTAGAAGCTCACTCAGTCCTTTCTTGACACAGATTCACAAAGCTTTTGAATGGGCAAAGATTGTTTTCTTGACCCAGATAACTCTATCTCCAAGACAGGCTTTTTCCATGGCTACTCACCAAAGCTTTGGATGAGACATGTATGCTTGTCTCTTAGCCCCACACAAACAATAATAATAATAATAGTAGTAATAATAAAGTGTTTAAAAAGAAAGGGCCAGACGTGGTGGCATGTGTCTTTAATCCCAGCACTTGTGAAACAAAGGTAGGCAGATCTCTGTGAGTTCAAGACTAGCCTGGTCTACAAAATGAGCTACAGGCCAGCAAAGGCTATATACTGAGACCTTGTTTCAAAAGAAAGAAAAAGGGCAGAGAATTGCCATAAAGACTTAGAGTGAATTTGAGGGGGAAATGTTTTTAAAGGATCAGAAGTGGGGAAAGCAAACTGAAATGGATAGAATGAACAAACTTTAAAAGTGAGTCGAGCTGAACAATGAGTCCCTAACCAGTTTACATCCCCAGCTCCGGGTATCTTTTTCCTGTTTGCTGAAACTTGTGTATCTCTACAAATGAGGACCAGCTTTGACATCATCAGATGGGGTTGCTGCCTGCCAATGAACAGCCCATCACTCATTGATTCAGGATTGGGCTCTTCTGTGCATAAAATGTGGTAATGGACCCAGGGAACAGCACTGTTTAATGCTACATCTGAACAGACCCGTGGGCCAGGCTGGAGTGTGAATGTCTGGGTAAGAGCACCAATTGGCTATCTAGAGGTCTGGGCTGAAACAGCTGTGCCACCCGCTTCACGCAATGTTCCTGTCTGTAAGAGGAGTAAGCCCTGCCCCTGGTTGCCTAACAGAACCTATATAGAGCTAGAAGGAGGGACAAGTGAGTGAAAACATTTTTGTCCATTCATTCATTCATTCATTCATTTGCTATGTGGCAGGGACAGTGCTAGGCAAGGTCTTGTTCTTGGAGGGCACACAAGTGGAGAGCAAATGATCACACAAATAACACAGGGTTATAATTGGAATGGTGCAATGGAAGGTAGCCGTATAACCCAGAAGGCCTCCTTCTGTCGGAGACTGCTGACAGAAGACATCATCAGTGTGAAATCAGATTCCATGACTTCATAAACCCTTTGAAATAACAGCTATTACCAGGCTCCTCCTTCCCAAGGCAGCTGCTGTTGGGCATTTGCCTAGTCTATAAGCTGTTAGCCTTTCATATGGAGTGGCTAGATATTGAGAACTCTTTTTCTTCTATTAAAAGTATGTATAGGAGTCAGGGGAGGAGGATATGTACACATGAGTACAGGTGTGTACGGAAGTCAGAAGGGGGTGTTGGTAGATCCTGGAGCTGGAGCTTCCCCACGTGGGTGCTGGGAATGGAAGACAGTCTTCTTTGAGAGCAGTACATGATTTTAACCATTGAGTTTTCTCTCCAGTCCCAAGAATTTCATTTCTTAAGGTAGGGATAAACTCCATAAACAGTGTCACTTAATTGGGACAATTCATCTTTGTATGGAGCCAAAGAAAGGACTGCATGGAGGAAAACTAACACTGATTGTCTACTGTTCATGTAGCAATGTGTGACACTTTATTCTTAAAGTCACCTGTGGGGTAGCACTAGGTTTAGGAATCTGAGGCTTGTAGCTCAAGCCTTTCTTGACACAGATTATAAAGCTTTTGAATGGGCAAAGATTGTTTTCTTGACCCAGATAATTCTATCTCCAAGACAGGCTTTTTCCATGGCTACCCTACCAATGCTTCAGATGGAGCTGTTTTATTTTTGGATTCCTCTGAGATATGGGTTCTCTAATTTCCTAGATGTTATAGTTCTGTGTTTGCTGATCAGAGGCGAGGTGTGCCAATTCCAACAATCTGTTCTCAGCAGGGGACATGGCTGTGTCTTCCTCTTTAAGCCCCAGAGGGCAGAGATGGAGATGGAGTGTCCCCTGATCAACACAGCATCTGATAAAATGTGGTAGAAGGAACTCGAAACCTCAGAGCTCTGATTCCACAGTTCCCCAGCAAAGGAGAACATGAGCCCTCTACACAGCTCCTTGTTCTATTAATGGCCTGTGCTCTGACCAGGAAAGAAGGGGTGGGGGCAGAGGAGGAGGAATTAGAAGAGGGAGGGGGCAGGGGGAAGCAGGGAAGGAAGAAGAAAGAAAAGGCTAAGCTTACCTTCTTTAACTGGGCAGAAGCTAAAGCAACTTCTGTGTCAAAACTTGTGCAGACTCATTGATTTGGACGCAAAAATTCAGTGAGTTTTATAGCTTCATTCACACCATGCAACAATGGCATGGTTTCATAACCTCTGTGTGAACCATAGCTACTCTGCTCAGTTTCAGGCAGGATCAATAAGAGAACAGTATGACCTGGAGTAGATAGTGCCAAACTCCTGGCTCTGCCAGGAACCAGCACTGGGACCTTCACAAGCCTCCTGCCCTGGATACCTCTGTTTTCTGATCTCTTAGCTAGAATAAGAATGTCTCTAATATTCTTTTGAGGCTATATGTATAAGTTGTAATTTTAAAAAGCAGAGCTCCAGAGACAGATGGCATGGACAGAGCTTAGGTGGAGGGGTTTTATTGGGGGAAAGTTGATGGGAAAAGGGGGGAGGGGAGACCAGCCTCTGTGGACAGGAGGGACAGGAGAGAAGAGAGAAGCAGAGGCAGAGAGAGAGAAGCAGAAAGAGAGAGAGTGAAAAAGAAAAAACAGAAAGTGGTCAGGGCCCTTTTGAAACAAAATGTAGTAAATGTGCACAGGT